GCTGGCTACCTAGCGCTGCTGTGGAGCTGATGCCATTGACAGAGTTATTGGCAAATCAACAGAAAAGGCAAACCAAGCTCAGCCTTCCCCCGAAAGCCGCGGACGCCTTCACCAGAGTCAAGTGACTCTTGCCCACCGCCACCGAGCTGGTTGTTCCAGCCCGTCAAGCTGTTGAGCATGGCAGTCGATGCATCTGACACAGCAATTAGAGGTGTGTTGCAGCAATTTATGGAAATCTTTTCGCGCGCGCACACCCCGCTTACGCTCTATTTATTGTTAATTGATTAAAAGTTGTTTATTTAAAGTGTGCTTTATTGTGTCACAAGAAAGCCCACATTTGTAACCCGTCAAACAATGGCAAAGCCGAACCGCGAGTACGGCTTAGGCTAAGTGCCACTTAGACTGGTTTAAGTGGCGCTTAAACTGCGGTGCAGTCAACTTAAATTATTAAGTTCCACTTAACTCCTAAGCCGAAGCGGTGCAGTTGGCCCTTAGTGGCACACTTTTGAGTGACTTTTGACACTTGAGAAGCCATTTTACAGTTCCAACTCGAGAGTGACTTGGGAAAGTTGCTGCTAAGTGGACGATAGGTTTCTTATGATCGTTCTGTTGGTACCAATGCATTTATCATAGATAAAGACAAGTTTGACAAGACGTCTATGACGGATAAAACGAAATTCGAAGACACCGTTAAAGTGTAAAAAAAACAAATGGATCGGCAGAGTAAAACTGTGTACTCAGCTAGAGAGAAAGCGCTGTTAACAAATATAATTAGTCTATTCAAGGATAGACTAGAATGCAAAAAAACTGACAGCGGTTCAAATGCTGATAAAAATGAAGCATGGGAAGATATTACCAAACAGTATAATTCCCATGATGTATCAGCAAGGAGTTTTCGAAACAGGTATATATAATAATCGATATCACTTAAATGACTTACATCTGCAGAAAACATCACTGCGATTGAAGACAATAAGCCAGAAGTCGGCAGTCAAAATATTAACACTCTAATAGAAAAAGGGAAAATAGAAATAGATCAAACTGCTAATAAGGTAATAACCTAATAATGCATTTCATAAAATGAATCTAAATTTTAAGTTTATATGTTCTTTCTAGAGAACAAGAGAAAACGAAATTCAGCAGCGCAAACCTGACAAAAAGATTAAAGTTTCGCTTTTTGAGGAGGAGAAGGAACTGCGAATCACTAAGCTGAGGGAGGCAATCAAGCAGCAACGAGAACAACACGAGCTCAGAATACAAACTATGGAGGCAGAGATAAATTATTGGCTAGAGGAAACAAAAGAAATTGTAAAAAAATTATAAACCAACAACCAAATAAAATTTTAAATTGGCTCATGCTCATTCGTGAAAATTTATAGATATAAATATTCTTCGAAAGACTAAGCCATTATTATCTGCTTCTATAATGATGTTATCTTTATGGGATTCTTCATTTTGAACGTCTCCAAAATCTTCCTCTTCCCTTTGTTTAGGCAAGAGGAAGCCTTGCCTCAGTAGCACATATTATGGCAACGGAAGTTTCCAACTTTGTTGCAAGACCTCTCCGTAAGCCAGGAAACCGTCGTTTCCATGCGCCAAATACTATCTCTATAATATTTCTAGTTTTAATGTGGCTTCGATTATAATCATGCCCTGGGCATTCTCACTTAAAAACCTAACCGAGAACGACTGATTTCATAGCCGCCAGAGGCGCTACAGACGATAAAGAGCTACAGATTAAATCATGAAATAACCCACTGTAGGAAAATATTCTGTGGATGAATGCGATAACGCAAGTCAAATGTTAAATAAATCTTCCCCATTGCTTTTTATGGATTTGTCATGGACAAGATGTCTGTCGATGTTGATTATTCGCTATCATCCAAAGAAAAAGCCTATGCCGATTTTATTCATTTCTGACGATATAATCTGTGATAAGTTGTATGATTTCGTGCCTCATGCTTCCTGCACATACTGGATTGTGATATGTTTCCCCATATTCTCCAATGCGTAATTTGTGAATATTTTGTTGGGTAAGTCGAAATCACTTAGCTTATTATTCAGGAGGCATTTTCATCAAGAAACAAATCAATGGAAAACAGGATATTTCTCTCATTAGAGCTAGTTCATAGCATCGGGTTGCTCACCGCTGAAACCGGTACTTAATACCTCTGTATTATGTAGAATTACAGATTAATATTGAAACAGAAACTTCTGTTCAAAATGAATAATGATATTTTCATATTTTCAGATTATCTTTTTCCTTATCTGTTTTCATAAATCGTCGATAATCTCCGAAGATGGTAGCTGTTTATTGGTGTCTTGAAAGCTGTTAGAAAATGCACGGCTTCCTATCACAAAAGGCGTATGTTTTAAAGTTATTTCTAAAAATGCTGCAACGACCCATTCGTGCATTTCTTCATCCACATATTTCATAAATTCTACCAAATCTTCCATATTAATAACATATTTAACAAAACGTGTGAATAACAAATCGAAATGCTCAGGTCAACTATGACAGATGGTTCGGCGCCAGAATCGTTAGGTTATAAAAACACCCTCAAGGGTCCTATACTCCACACTCAAGTCCAACGGCCATTTGCACCAGTCAACCTAAGGCTCACCTTAACCCTTTACTGCATACCGAGTCAAATATGATGCAAACCAAAATTTAAGTGAAAGTGAGTCTTAAAGTGAAAATAAAGTAAAACTGCATGGCGTGTCACATCTGGGACCGATACATAAATGCGTATATGCCGTATTTCTACAATCGCGCAAACCGTACC